TTCGCGAATGTGTAAAGCAGCGAGCGTTGTTCCTAGTAAATTCCAGCAAAAACCTTTCGATAGTCTTTTTTTTGTAGATTATGATGCGCTAAATAGTAGTAGCCGCAGAATTTCTTTTCGAAGGAAATAGAAGGGCTGGTGAATTGTAGAAAAATCTTGTCGTCCCAAATTCTACCCACCATAGCCCTAGAATACGAAGCTCTCTTGCTAAGCTGATGTGATTCTCGAAAATAGCAGGTCGGATAACCTCTATGGGCAAGTTCTTCGAATGTTCAGGTTATTTCATTTTTTCTCGTTTTACGCTCTGGAAGCCGATGGATTTTGGTCGAAATGTTGATGCTCATGAATTTTAGGGAAACTTCGCTTATAGAGGTTTTTTCGAACACGCTCTTTACGAGAATCGTGGTCTTTGAGGATTACAGGAACTTTTTTGGAGAAAAACGGTAAGGTGACTGTAACTGCACCACGAAAGTGCGCAACTTTGCCCGCACTTCTCGCGTATCTTTCAGAAAACTTGGCTGCTTGCTTTTCTAAGTCAAAAAACAACTCCTAATACCCTTGACTTAGAAACGCAAGCAGGCAAGTTTTCTGACAGGTAGGCGAGAAGTGCGGGCAAAGTTACGCACTTTCGTGGTGCAGTTACAGTCCGTCACCGTATCTCTCCAAAAGGACCCTGTAATCCTCAAAGACCACGATTTTCGTAGAGAGCGTGTTCGATAACCTCTATAAGCGAAGCTTCCCTACAATTCAAGAGCATCAACATTTTGACCAACATCCATCGGCTTCCATAGCGTAAAACGAGAAAAAATGAAATAACCCGAACATTCGGAGAACTTGCCCATAAAGGTTATCCGACCGAGGTTATCTGATTTCGAGAATCACATCTGCCTAGCAAGAGAGCTTCGTATTCTAGGGCTATGGCGAGTAGAATGACGACAAGATTTTTCCACAATTCACCAGCCCTTCTATTTCCTTTGAAAAAAATCTGCGGCTACTATTTAGCGCATCATAATCTACAAAAAAAGTACTATCGAATGGTCCTTGCTAGAATTCACTCGGGACAACGCTCTCTGCTTTACACATTCGCGAAGAGACGTTCGCAAAAAGATTCAAGAATACTACAATCGAATTATCAAGGACATGCTGTATATCAAAAGATTTGCCTTGATGAGCTGAGCAAGCGTGTTTTCGGATTCAAACATAATTCCGAAGGAAGTTATGACGAGTAGAATTTAAGAACGCGTAAATTTTCCAGAATTCACCACGCTTCTATGTCCTTTGGAAGGAGGTCCGAGCCTATTTTTAGCGCACAATAATCTACAAGAACAGTGTTATCGAACAGTACTTAGTATAGTCTTCTATGTTGGACAGGCGCTGCTTCACATATTCGCGAAAGCACCTCCGCAGAAGAATTTGAAAAAACTGAAAACGGAATATCGAAGGCATCGTACTCCCACTTCCAATATATCAGAAGATTCTCCTCGCCGAGCTGAGTTGAATATTGGCTTCGGTTTCAGAATTCGTAAACTCTGCGAGATATGGCCATGCGACGGTGGCGTTCATGCATCAGGCGACCGTCACATAACTCGTGCGACCGTCGCGTGACTTACGCGGCCGTCGCCCGACTCACGCAACGTCGCGTAAGCCTGCTTACATTCTCGTCTATTTTTGAAAAAATGTGAGCGGTATTGTATAATTCCTGGAAAGGCGGCCTGATGGCGCGAAACTACAGTGACTATGGTTATTTTGATTACAAGGAAGAAGCATATTCACCATAAACCTAAATGAGTGTTTTTGAAACCTAAATCGTTTAACATGCGTCACAGAACATTTGATATTCCTCACATTTGAACGCTCATAGCTCCTCCCAGATTATCGCTTGGCAAATGATAAACATATTTTTATAATCAGCATTTCAAGACCAGTCCGAAGACATACAGTATGTTTGGTATGGCTGGGTTAAATTCTACCATTCCCTGCTTAGTAAATTGCTTTGACAGTCACCGGGTAATGCTGGTCATCACGAGTGAATCAACTATTGCTCATTTTTCTCATGTGAGACCTTTAACTTTAAAACGAAATTTCCTAACAGTGAGATAAATCCGAGTTTAGATCAGCTAATGAAAGATTGAGTTTATTATGAGCTGGTAGCTCTTGTAAGCTGATTAACGAATTTTATCGGTAGGGGCAGTTGTTGTCCTAATATCATGCGCAAAACTTTAGAAAATAAGCAATAAGGTTTGTGCAATTAGCACTTGAAGCCGGCTGATAAACTTGGATTTCTTGAATGCTTTTTGCGTTAACGTCCTTGGGTTTCAGATTTTCAAGTCGGAATCTAAACTTTGCCGAAAGGCCAACGGAGGGGTTTATTGATCACAAGTAATGTTGTCATTTTTGCAACTTTCAAACAAAGCGGCGAAATGTCAAGTAAGTCACTCTAAACTATTATTTAAGCTGGAGCATTACGGCATCAGAGGAGCTCTTTTTGATTGGCTTAGTTCTTACTTAAGCTACAGATACATGACTGTCCGAGTTGGTAAGGCACATTCTGGTCACTTTCCATGTCCTAGTGGGCTTCCTCAGGGAGGGGCACTTTCACCACTTCTTTTTATCATTTACACTGCCGAACTACCCAGAATCTTGAAAACGCATCCTAACGTTCATGTGCTAATGTACGCTGACGACATTAAAATTTTCGCTACTTACAATAACGAAAACCGCAACGTTGTGAGAGGAGCCTTACAGCGTTCCATAGATGCCATGATTCGATGGTGCGCTGAGTGGGACATCTCTGTCAATGTTGCTAAGAGTTCCGTGCTCCACATTGGCACAGAACGAGAAGTTCTTTATGAACACAGGGGCACAGCTTTGGCCCTTAAAAGATCTATCAAAGATTTGGGAGTCCTCATTGATGACAAGTTGAAGCCTGATTTACAAATTACTTCCGTTACAGCACGGGCATTTTCAATCTTATATACAATATTTCGTAACATAAAGACAACTGATGTAAAAATATTGCTAAAGCTTTACAAAGCTCTAGTAATCCCCGTGCTAGAATATGCAAGCCAAGTATGGTGCCCCTTCCTCAGAAAGCATAAACGAAGCTTGGAGAGCGTTCAGAAAGTCTTTACTAGACTTTTATTTTTTCGATGTTTTTCTAGTTCAGCCTATCCCCATTCTCTTCTCACATACGAAGAACGCCTGAGATTACTAGAAATGGAGAGTCTGTCCTACCGTCGTACCGTTCATGATCTTATGCTTGCTTTCAGAATTTATAGGGGTGAAACAAGGTTAAAACCTTCCAAATACTGGGTGTTTAGACCCAACCACGGAAGGACTACCGGTTTTTCCGTTCATACAATTTCAGCAAATGGTGGGCGGAAACAATTTCGTTTTTTCCTTGGATATGATTTCTATAGTCGTACACAAAAAATGCTTCAAAAACTACCTCGTGAAATTTTAGCTTCTAAAGATAGTAAAATTTTCAAACTCAAACTGAAAAAAGTAAATCATCTAAATGAAATACTTCAGGTTGAACAGAGCTTATGACATCTATAACGTACGTGGATATGTGTCGTTCATTCCAATGGTCATCCTAACTTCTTCATGATCACTGCTCGTCCTGCCTTTATTTATGCGTTTCACTCAACTCGAGTGCACGGAGTTTTTAAACTACAAACTCAATTTCCATTACGACAACTTGTGTTTTTTCTTAGTAACATTTTCTTTTTACATGTCTTACTAATCCATGTTTTGTCATTATAGTAATTCAGGTCTAAACAATTTGCCCATTTCTATCATTACAGCTTGTTGACTTGCTCTAGTTGATACACAAAAAGTGAAACTCATTGATATTCTTTCGGAGTCATTGGACTCTCCCCGGATTCATTTGGGCAAGGTTCTTTAGTACTATTTCATCAACCGAGTCCCGCTTTGCTTATTTTAGCAAGAGCGTTTTCTGCTGGCAAACGAGGTGGTATGATTACCACTCCATAGATTACACTAGCTTAATATGATCTTACTCACATATGAGTCATTCATTCTCTACAATCCTTACTGCTATCCATTTGAGTCAGTGCACTCTCCTCGGCATACTGGTTTGGTGAGATTAGACAGTTTATCAACCAGCAAACCGTTTGCTTGTTTGAATCAAAATTTTTGCTGGCGAAAAAGGGTGCATGGGTACCATCTCCATGAAACACACTCATTCAGTTCTGTTGACTACAGTCTTAGAGCAGTCACAAACAGGCTTTCATCACACTTCCAATAATCTAGTCCAAATGCTTAGACCCAAATTACATAATGAATTATCGTGGTATTAGAGTATGAGCAACTGTGTTTTGTCTTTTTTAGAAACGCCTAGAGCGTATGTAATAAATAAATAAATAAATAAATTGGGAATTAGCTGTATCTTGCAGAATTAATCTAAATGATTTGATTGGAAATTTCTCTACAAATTTCGCGACACAAGAACACAAAACATGGAACCAATTTTAGGCTTTTCTAGCATGACATTATTCCCTAGCTGACCTCCTGACCAAAAAATCAGGCGTCGATGATACTGTTTTGATTTGATGGAGCCCACTCGAGTTTAACCCTAGTTAGCACCCAAAAGTAATGGGCACTCTCCCTCTAACATAGAGAGAGTCTCCGTTCAAATCAAACTGGGTGTAATCGCTAATTCTCTCTCCATCCCCTACTCCCACAACTCTTCTAATATAAACAGCAAGAATAGCGCCGCACTACGATTTATTCCCAAAGCATGTGAAAGTAGATTTACCCTTTATCCTTTATACTATGATTGTTGATGAATAGTGTGGCTTCCCATATGCAATTTTATACTCAGAAGGACCCTTTTGTGATTGAAAACGAAACTGTTGCAGAAAAATGACAAATCCACCACTCACCTTATCTGACTACACAGACACAGATAGATTCATTTATTCAGATCATAGTATAATTTTTAGAGAAACCACAGGAATTCATGTCAACGATATCGCTCAAAAGTAATTATGCACGACATCCCTTGCAGAAACAGTGATCGACGATACAGCAATGTCTTTGCTCTTCCAAATCCGGCTAATGTGGTCCCAGTATGGTTTGATAAAATAGAGAGACAATAAAGGACTCAGCACGGGAACAAGAGCCGAGAACGTGAACGAGTATTGCAGCAATGGAAAATTTGTTGTTACATATCCGATCCCATAAATAATCAAGGTGATAAGATATGAGAGTGCCAGACATGCGTGGAAAGATAATGCCTGAGAAAAATCTCTGTGACATCTGCTTGCAACATTTACAGATATAACTCACTTTCAATAATTGTGAGTGCATATGACGGGTTTTTTCAGATATCGTCGATTCACTTAGCAGTTTAACTACGATTCTTCTTCTTATTATCAAAATTGCAATGAAAACGGGTAAAACGGGAACAGTCAAATGCAAGGCTACATAAAGTGACTTCCATTCCAGTATGTTCGAGCTGGTAACACATGCATTGGTCAGATCTGTATAACTGGATAATTCGATCAATTTCTGTCTAGCTTTCTCCGTAGTATCCATCCCCAGAGTCGCGAACGCCTAGAAGTAGGGAATCGCTCTTTGTATTTTTGTTAGCCATTTAAGCTGCATACCTAAGATCAACATATGAAACTGCATGTTGTTTGTCTGTATGTCTTTCCATGTGTATGTGTGTCTGCGTGTGCGCACGTATATTCCGAACAGAAAACACTACTAAACCGATGCGGACCAAACTTGTACATATACACTATGGGGCGGGGGGTGTTGTCTCTACTTTCCGCTAGCAATTGATATCGATTGTTAATAGTTGCCCATGTTCGATATCGATTGTGTCTATCTTACCGCTAACTTCAAGCTACATAGTTGACCGCGCATGTCTCGCTTAATCTTTGTACCCCGTTGAATTGTCTGGTGTTGAAGTGGCATGGCGGGGTACTAGGAGGGACGGGGGGGGGGGGGTGGGGGAATGGGTCAAGATACATGACGATGACATAAGCAACACTGCGACAAAAAGCTGGCTCCTGCATGATGGATGTTGTTTGCGACACGCTTCTCGAAAAATCTGCGTCGATATTATAACTTCTGACCGTTCGCCGAGAGTTGGCACAAAGGGGTACAGTCTGCTCCAATGGGATCAGGCCTAATCGTCGGCGTGAATTTGCGCGCTTGCAGCGTTAGCGGTCTGCGCTGCATAGGCGCGTGCCGGAGAGAGCGAAAGATTAAAGAGAGAGCAGAGAAGCAGGCCGTGGGTGTGACCGCGAATCCCTAGCGACGCGGAATCTCGCCATGCCAATTTTGGCCTGTAGGATTGGGGCAGACTGTAAGTGAGCATCCTTTTACAACATATTGGGGTCAAAACATTGGCATATAAAATGGCTTAGAGACAGGGAACGTTTCATGATTTACAGAGGCTGAGTGAAGTCGGGTATTCCAGCTATTAACCAATAACAAAAGCCAATCTATTGCTATCTTTGACAATTTTCGGAGTGAAAAACAACATGAAATCTATGTTTTTGATGTTAAAGGAGAGATGTTTATGAGCTGCGAAGAATTGAAGAAGAGAAGGAGTTGCGCAAGCTTTCGGGACGCCATTCGCTAAATCTACTATTCACTTTTTTTCTGGCACTAGTACAGTGAAGCAGGTAATCAGGCGGTTCCCGTTCTTGGTATGTCAAGAAGCGCGATTTTTATTACTAGATGGACACCTAGGCCCGTAGTAATCCCCCGTCATGAGGGTCGCGACGTTCGAAACATCGCACGTACCCAGCACGGTCGTTTCGGCCGCGTTTCGTCGCGCGCCTATCTCTTATCACAGCCGCGCGGCGAAATCGCACGACGTCGTGATTGCAGGACATGCTCGTCCTCGCGCGCAGAGGACGAGGACGTCGTGAACGTCGTCACTTAAGGGGCAGAGAAATAGAAATAGTGGGCCCAGCGTGGAGACGCAGGAAGGCGCAAGTGACTAGGGGTCGAGTACGCCGAGCTCGCGACCTTGTGCAAGGACCGTAGGCACACAGCAATAGGTTCAACTCACGCCGAATGCAATCGATATCAACAGCTGATAAGCGCCCAAATGTAACGCGCCGAAGTCTTATTCCGTTTTCTGAGCACTTCTACTGCTATATTTCTTGTAATCGAAAAAAGGTGAGTTTATTTTGATTATGATTTACTCCAAAATTCTACTTTCTGGTGTCTTATCGTGTTTAAACTATTTTCTTGTGATTCTCACATCGCAACTCATTTGTGCACCAAGTTTTTCCTTCTGCATGTCTTAGTCTCTTACTTCTTTTATTTGAGCACCTTTTATAATGTTTATACGCTGAAATGCTGTTCATTGGCTGTGCGTCCAGCGTTTCCCTCATGATTTGGGGAAGGGAACCGTTTGGCGTTATGGCTAATGAAATTGCTCATATTTGCACCAACCAAAGTAGTAATAGTTTTACAATATTCTAAATTTCTCGTGTATTGTCAGTAATTTATGTTTTGCAATGACTCCCCACTACCAAAAGTTACAAATTTTGTTTAATGACATAAAAACTAACTAGCCAGCAAGTTACAAAGCAATGATCCACATGGCACTCGTACCCGCCGCCTTTAGCTCAGCGCCATCCAACACTGGCACTGCGCTATGCGCACCTCTTGTAGCGCTACCGCCAGTACCGCGCTTTGATAGTGGCTCGAGGAAGACTGTGTATACTTTTACAACTTACATAAAGGTCAACACACATAAGGCTTGCTTATGGATTTGCTCTCAAGCAGTAAGCAAGTGTTCTGCCTGCCGCATCTTTGCTTCGCTGTTTTTAGCTAATTTTTTCTGTTTCGAGGAGAATCAATAGCGCAGTGGCAGTGCGCGCCGTCAACGACCACCGAGTAGTTCGATCGCGCGTGCGGTCGTATGTTTTGCGGTGACCATAACATGGTCGTGAGCAGCACGTCCTTCAGTCGGACACGTCGTGTTTTCGGTTTCTTTACATCACGACATATTTCGGGGGTTTACTACGGGCCCTAATAGCGCAATTTAGCGTTCAATAATGGTGTGTTAGGTTGTAAAGAAATTTCCCGGGCACTTTTGGAAATTTCATTTTCAAACGCATTTTTTCGGCGCTCGGTAGGACTTTGACACCAAGTTTTTTATACTGTTCAGTAGAGGAAAACCTGTAGTTTTCAATACGCCTTCTGACTTTTATTAATATCAAGACGTGTTTGATCCGCACATCAAGAAGAGAAATCTTTCCAACCACAAAAGTTTCACAAATTTTCTTCCTACGGCCATTTTTTGTAATCAGAAGAATTTTGTTCAGATCATGAGTAATCTGATTGAGAAGTCTGTTAAGTTCTGGCCCGCAGCTGCACTCGAATTTTGCCATTTGCGCTCAGAAATTACAAGCTGTCGAACTTGCCTCTGACTGCAACTCTTTTCGAGGTGGCGTCGCTTCTGCGGGGATCGCCACGCGTGGATGGTGGGGCCAAAAGGTGTGTAAGGCATTAGCCCAACAACGTTACCAGTAGTCAAAGATTTGGTCTTTTCTTTGCAAAACTAGAAGACTTCGAAGTCACTTACTCGAAAAGTGATGCATTTTTAAGGGCAAAAAATGGTCGATTTTTCAAGCTTTCCGGAAAAAAATTTTTGCGGGAAGTCCTTCAAAAACATGAATTGTCCCCTTAACAGATCCAGCAGACCTCTATATAACTACAGTATCTGGGCTCTCCAGCTCTCATCCTGCCGGAGATAATCCTGCACAAATAGGCCACTTTTCGCAACGACCTTTTTCCCTTCTGCGCATGCTGGTGGACCGCAGTGAAGTGCTGAGAAGCCAGCAAGACAAATATATATTGTGGACAAAGTTGTCTTTGTAATGAAGTTCGTAGCTTTAAAAAAGAATCAATCTGCTTGAAGTTATAGCGATTTGAAAAAAATTTTCGCAACTGCCCGAGAACTTTCTTTACAACCTAATAGAATGCTTTCGAATTTCTGAAGAAGTGCATAAGATCGTTGCATGAGCTGTTTATACTTATTATTTTTAGGTAGATTCAAAACATAAATAGAGGTCAAAACGTGTGAAAATGCAAATGATGAGAATTTTTCAAGTATTTCAATCAGTCTTCTAAAAAAACCTTCAAACTTAGCGAGTGGTGAATTCAGATAGCTGGCAAGTTGGAAAACTGTCTGTATTCTTGAAAGAATTACAAAGCTGAGCATTAAGCTGGTGACCTTTCCAAAAAACGCGCTTCTTGACCGTTTGCCCCCATTCTTGTGGATATCAATTGAAAATCGGCAACGCGGTGTTACAGTATTTTGGTGGTGTAACTACATCAATGTGAGAACTTCCTTCCCAAAAAAATCGCAGAATGGAGAAATGATTGCTATGTTATTGAGAATCTTGCATTGGAAGGCATCAAATTTTCGAGATTCTTAGTTTTTTTTTCTCCAAATTGTGTTGCAACGTTGTTTTTGCAATAGAACATGCTCTAGAATTACACTCATGTTCATTTGGGAATGGGCGTTCATCTTGTCCTTTTGAAGGGTTACTCTTGCATTAGCTGGCGAACTTTATAAGATTAGTAGAAACTAGTTGACTTACCCGGCTCCGCCCGGCTCTGTCATTATTATATTCGTAATCAGCATGCTCGACTACCCCCCTGTGCCAACTCCCAGCCCCGTAGCTCAAATTTTGCAAAAAATCGATAAAATCGATGTCGATCGATGAAAGTGGCCCATGACACCCGCCGGGGCCTGAAGTGTATTGTGCCAAGTTTGGTCCGGATCGGTTCAGAAATGGAATTTCCTATTCGGAACATACGTACAGATAGACAGACAGACATACAGACAGACAGACAAACAGACATTCAGCTTTATATATAAGATTGATATTCAGTTGAAAATCGATGTAAAGCGCTTTTCGATTGCTCGCCCGTCACTGACAGTCTGTAGCGCGTACTTGACCCCTCCCCCTCCCCAAAAAATTGGCGAGTTACACCCGGAAAAGCGATTTCCTAAAAACAAAGACCGGAGTGAAGAAAAGCAGTTCCTTTGGTATGATATTGATGAAAATAGACATAATGTTTCAATTGAAAGTGAAAAGAGAGATTGCTAATGAAATGTCTTCTTTTGAGTTGTCGGTAACTCAGGAGTCAACGTGGTAGAGTGAAATTTATTTGAATGTATTGCGACTGAATGGTCTTCTTTGGAGGTCTGAAAGCAAGATGCACCCTTCTCTAATTTACAAAACGTAAGAGCCTAAGGCCAGTACCAGGCATTGGCTTGTGCAGGTTTTGTCTCATAGATATAAATATCGATGAAGACTGTGTCTCAGATTTACCTTTGTATTAGTGGAAAGTTAGTCATAAGAAGCACAAAAATGGCAAACTCACTGAGTATTATTTACCGGGTATTGCATCTATATGTGCAGGTAGCAACTTGCGTATCGGTAAGAAAGCAAGAGGTCTTTGTTGTATTCAAACGTTCACTTTTCTATTCATGGTTTTTTGCTTGCGGGGAAGGATACTTAGTAGCCGTTGCCTTTCGTTATGTGACGTATGTCATGACATTCGCCTCGAAACGCTGCTCTTAAAACCGTACTCATTATCTGCAGAACGTTATTACGAAAAAACCGTATTTCCCCCATCTGACGTGTTTACACAAGAGTACGAAAAATTTCGATAGGCTGGAAGTCTCGAATGGTCTAATGATTAGCGCTGTCGATTATTGCACAATGGATGTCCGTTTCATTTTATTTCATTTCATTAAATACGCTCGAGGTGTTCCATAAAGAAAATAACAAACAATGAATGTTGTTAGTTTTACACAAAATACGAATAGCAACAGAACATCATATGCTTCAAGCCCAGACTTCATTCAAACTTAGGAAATAACGGCTCAGCTTGCAAGAAGACTGCTGGATATTACGAATGTCAATACTGAGTTATATCCGCAGAGATGGAACCCATGTCTCCGCGTTAGCCGGCAAACGATCTTAACGTATGCAAACAAGCAAACGACGGCGGGTAAGCATTCACCGGCCTGCCAGGAAGCATTGTCAATGTGCGAAACAAAATACTGTTACGTAACTGCACATCGAATCTATGAATCTAAACGACTAAGGAGATGGTACCCATGCCCCTTCGTTTGCTAGCCATGATCTCAAAAGATTTCCAAGAAACAAACTGGAGCTTATAGCCCAACCAGTCTGCCAAGGAAAGCCCAACTCCGACAAGTAAGCAACAAGCATAACATGATCTTCAAGCTGTCAAAGCAAGCAAGCTGTGCGAATCAGGCTAGATATACAGGGTGTCCCAAAAATAAGTACACACTTTCAGTCGTCAATATCTCTCTTCCTAGTGCGTCTTTTTCCACCATTTAAGTACCATTGTGTAGAGAAGGCTTCAACTTAGGATTACAAAGTTGAGCGAATCACCGATCTCTCTTCATTACTGTAGAATTACTGTAGGAACTCTCGGCAAGGATTTTAGGCCATTGGGTGTCATATTCTGCCTGGAAACAAGACCAAACAAGCCAAAAACTCTTATACTATGGTAGTGGAAACCGCTGATTTCGAATATGAAACTTTCACTTTTCTGTGATGCTTCTTTTCAAAGTTATCCCAGGTAAACGTAACAACCGATTTCCCAGTATTTGTCAGAGTTGTGATTACAACGTCAAAAAAGCTGAAAACACTTGTAAAAAGTTGTGTAGTGGCAGAGCATGCGAAAACCCTAGTATGCGATTTTTCAGATTTTTTGAAAAATTTTTTCGTCAGATGGCGTATCTCACAATGGTTCCATTACCGCAATCCTACAGTAACAAGGAGGCATCGGTGATTCGATCGATAATGTAGATCAAAGTTGAAGCTTCCTCTACAGAATGGTACTCAACTGGCAAAAAAATACCCAATGGGAAGAGAGATATTGACGATTGAAAAGTGTTTACTTACTTTTGGGACACCCTGTATATGTGACTCAGGCTTGAACCACATGATGATGAGAACAGTGTTAGTAAAAAACTCAGAAGCAGTATAGAGTTCAACATATGCAAAGTTGCAATGGCTACTCTCAGTGCATATTCATAACCCAATCATGCTCATTGTACATGTCTGGTTGCAACCGCACAGTCATAAAAGAAGGGAAGTGAGATACGTTGAAATTGCAAAAAAGTCATTCAATCTTCTTTTTTTGAGATCTTTTCTAAAAGAAAACTATCAGTACATGCCAAAAGTTCGTGTGGTAATTTTTGTAACATTTTTGATGTGCGAACAAAAAACTCCTGCCCAAAAAGAAACGAAATTGTTGACGCCCACCAAAGTTTTGACGGAAAGTAATAGAGAATGCTCTAGTCCTTCTATGGCTAGGTTTGAAAACAAAATACTTAAAAGGCAACTTGGTTTCACCCCTAAAATTCCTGAAAGCTAATATGATATCATGAACTACTCGCCGATATGCAATGCTTTCAAGACCAAGAATTTCCAACCTCTGTTCATAACTAGGAAGTAGTCGAGGATAAGCTGGACTAGGAAAACAGCGGTAGAAAAGCAGTTTTGTGAAAACTCTCTTAACAATCTCCAATGCCCGTTTGTGCTTCCTCAGAGAGGGGCTCCAACCTGAGTCGCATATTCAAGAACAGGAATAACTAAGGCTTTCTAGAGTTTGATAAAAATTTTTTGATCAGTCGATTCGATATTCCTGAAGATCGTATACAACGTGGAAAAAGCATGGGAGGTGAAGGAGGCAATTTGTAGATCCGGTTTCATTCTCGAATCTATCAAAACTCCCAGATCTTTGACGAGTGTTTTGCTGTTCAGTGCTATTCCATTGTGCTCATAATGCACTTGTTCTTCGCCACCGATGTGAATAAGGGAACTTTTAGCAATGTTAACAGAAATATCCCATTTTGAACACCCTTGCTCGGTAATTATTTTATGAGGGAATAGTTAACAATTTGCGTTTTAAATATTTTCTTCTGATAAGATGTTTGGGATACCGTCGTATCAGTAAGTGAACATATAGCAAACATTTTTCTTCAGACAATATACTATGCCTAGGTAATCCTAAGTTTTTCATATTCCGTGAGTGTTTTTACCTTTTAACAAAATGGAAAAAAAACTCACAAGCTGCAGCAAAGAGGGTACATAAACTAGCAAAGTAATTACAAAAATAGTGAGACTGCGTGGAGCTGGCGTCAAAAGTACATAATATCGATATAAGAACGATAATAACAAAATGTAGAAAGTATGACTGTAGCAGTGCAGCCAAATGTTGTAACTGGAAGCACATGTTTCAAACGTACATGTTTGCAGAGAGCGATAGAAGAACTAACGTGATACCGCATGTCAAAGATCCCAATTTGCAACATGTCCCATACGAAATCAGAAAATTTGAGACTCCGATTAACATAATCCTGAACATCCATCGCGTTAATGTAGTATAGTACACGGAACCAATATTTCTTTGATTTCAAACCTTTCATTATGCAGCAGAGAGGATGCGCATGCAATAAGATCACACACAGCTGTGGTGAGTACGAGAATCGAATAAGTTCGCAGTGGTTTCGTTGTTTTGTTGAATACCATGAAAATCAGGATGACATTGAATAAAGTCCCAAATGAATTCATTAAGGCACGAGAAACTATATTTACAGCACCAGGAGCTTCCATTGCCTAAAAAAGGTCGATAAAGCTGAGAATATTTTGATATGATTCCTAGTAGGTGAGTAAGCCGAACAAGGTTGGTAGATCTTCGTTAATTGTGGCCCAACGTTTCGAACAAGTCGTCCTCTTCAGAGGCCTCTTTAGCGTGCTTGCAAGTCTAAGGGCGACCATCCTCCGACGCCACTAGTATAGATCATTTGATTAAGTGATCATTAATACTAGTGGCATCGAAGGAGGCCTCGCTAACATCGTCATGCCGACGGTGGAGGAGGTCTACAAAGAAGACGACTTCTTCAAAACGTTAACCCGCCACTAATAAAGATCTATTAACCTCGGTCGGCTTACTAACCCACAACATGTTGTGCTAACAATGAAGAAGGAGGAAGCTTGTAACTTCTGATATTATTGTTAGTGAACGCATAGGGAGTAAAAATTGAAAGCTTGTAGCCCTCAATTTGGTGAAACACTGTAATATTATGTTGAGAAAAGATTTGTACGACAACCTTTCCTAACGAGATATCACTCAAGTCCTGAGACGATGACTGTGAAGATATTTTGTCTGTCAAACGGTCTACTGTTGGAAAATATAGTCGTTATACAGTCGTTATCCGTCATGATATTGTCTGGTTTAGATCTGCCTAAATAAGGTGAAAGCGCAGCAAACGCAGAACTGGCTGCGTTTTGAACTGAACTCAAAATTGGCTTTCCACTACTGTTGTTCCACTGATTAGGCTGGGTTCATACTGATCTGTAGGAAAGTTCCACCACAGCGCTCCAATTGTGCACTGTGCTGAGCGAGTATCAAATCTTTAGCTTATGTAAGTGACCGTGTATTTCAGTTCCACCTTGCCTACTCGATCAATTCGGAACTTAAGGATTAGGACCCAGCCTCAATTTTATATTGTCTTATACTCAAGGGAAGGAATTCAGCGAAGGCTTCAGTAGCTTGTCAACTACTCCAACGGCAAGCCAAATTCATGAAATCGCCCGTATCGCGCGGCTGCGAGTATCGGCTTTCATTGTTTATGCTTGAACGCTGAGCGTATGCCGCAGCCACCTGAGCCGTGCGCCAAACGGGGCCCGGCACAGATCGAACGGAAGCAGGCTGGACTTCATTTTTGGGACAAAAAGCAAAGGGATATTGTTTTTTGGGGAAAAATTGTGTACATGCAGTACTAGCGAAGCATTCGGAAAAATTTCGCACATACACTGGTGTGCAAAACAACTCAACGCAGTTTCTGTACTGCAAAAAGCGCCACTCAGTCAAGCACGAGCTCTAAAGACAGGTTATTTCGCGATGAGCGTGCTTCATCTGTTTTGCGAAAAGTGCGCGCGATTTGAAAGCAAAGCCAAAACCAATAAAATGCTTGTTTACGAGAGACAAGCATATGACACCAAATTTGGACCGGAAGCATAAAATATTATGAAGAAAAATGTGAAAATTTGAAAACCTATGCAAAGTGGTACCTTTGTCAAACTTAGTCTGTTTCTGGTCTTCGATGGAGCATACATTATGTTTTTGTAAGCACGCATAAATTCTGGATCTTTTTTTCAGTCAGAATCTATCATTGAGCATGAAGATAATTTCATAGTGTTGCCTTCATAAATCACTTTGTTACATATGGCGCTTCAATAACAAACTCTTATGCATGCGTAGTATTCAGCTCCACTTTGAGTTTTCACTCTTATTTTTTGTTTTTCCTATTAGAATAGTGACTCTTTTTTGATTTCATTCTCTGAATTCGATAGGTTTCCGATCAGGTGAAACGGGACCTTGTAAAATCTTCGAAAGTTATGGGGGTCGTTTTCAGACACCCTAGAAACGGACTCTTTCCGCCCCCTGGAGCCAAACTTGCTCGCTGGCGTCCTACTTCAATACGGGCAATTTCGTGCAATCAACTTTACTAAGCCCAATGTCCCCTGAGCTTGTACAGCTTGTGACTGTGTTCATTTCTATATCAAATATACAATAGAATTGAATTCAGAATTTCAAGGCAGAAGTTTGGTAGGCATTTTGTTGCAAACGGTCACTTTTAGAATTTTTCAAAAACTTGATGATTCAAGACTTTCGTGTAATTTTACAAGTAGAGTTCCTATTTCATCGGGACATACAAAATATAATAACATACTGGGCATTGCCTACAATATCACAGGAAGTCCACTTAGCAAGACGAGATTAGCATGTGCGATTGCATGAACTTTGCGACGTCAAATGCTTGCACTGTTAGCAGTACAGAATGTGCTTACATGCAGTATATGAGTTGTCGAAAATTAGACAACACAACTAACCCAGTTTTTTCAAGCAGATGCTGATATAAACATGAAATATAGTTAGTAATGAAGCAGTAAGGACGGATCTACAATGTGGAAAGGAACATTTCAGAACTCTTCAAAGCGCTTATGGCCCAGATATCTATTCAAAAAGAAAAATAAGCAAACTTTGAATTTATAGAATAACAGAACTGGAAAAATCAATTACTCATTTGGCGCTTACTACCAAACCCAAGAGACGGTTTAGTGAATTAAATTATCAGCATCCAGTCGCAGATGCGATCTTAGTTTAGATGTAAAGCGTTAATCGCACTATTCTCTAAACATTGGTTTGCCCAAAAAATCAAGAGTGCTATCACGTTCACGTTTGTCTCCTGGACGAAACAGTACAATGTCAACCAAATGAGTGATTTAGTAAACAAGCATCAGGGACTTATTGTGGGGGGAGCTACGGGGCTAACTTTTTTGATTAGCGCTGACTTCTAGTCTTTTCTGAGTATAAAATGTATGGAAGCAATCATGTGCGAGATCGCCGCTACAAAAGAAATTTAAAAAAACAGCTTCAGCGAACTTCGATAACTAAGAGCAAAGACCGGCTACAAATAAGTTGCTGACACATTGCAGACTTGTAACAGTAAACACCAAAACGGCAGCTAAAAAGTGAACAAATATGCTCATGACTTAGGAACGGTATAAGATTGAGAGAAATAAAGTCTATAGGGGATGTGGAATCGTCAACCAAACACAAGCGGAACAGATCTTTATCTGAAACTCAATAGTTTTTTCAAAATCACTTGCGTAAAAAAATAACAAAATAAGTATTCCTTAGCACACTCTTTGCAAGCATGTTGTAATCGCTCATTGCAACATTTGCATAAATGCTTACTGCGCTTCCTTGATGCTCTTGATTCTACTACAGTCTACTATTGTGCGAACCCTATATGGTGTCCAAGGTTTTACCGCTTCTTAGAATTATTTGAACTTTTAAGCATAAGTTATTTATAAAACATATTAGAGTGACTCTTACATCCAGAGCATGCGCCTTCACAATTGTGGTGGTGCCTCTGCCGTTATTAGAAAATCAACGGTACTTTTCCGTTATCCGGGCCCATTTTTTCCAAAGAAGGATATTGCTTCTTTCCTTGTATCAGATTTGGTCCCAATTTCACAGGAAGGAGTGTCCAAAAAATTTGGCATGCTATCAACATGTTTAGCAGGTTTCATGAGTCTCTGTCGCCCTACCTAAGTTAAGTTACCTGTTTTTAACCAATAATTACACCATTTTCAATTAAACAATTTTAAAAATGAGCATTGTTATAATAATGACGTTATACTGCTATCAATGAACAGATTGGACTCGCTCAGTATAGAGAACTGCGCTAGATTTTCATCATCAAGCGGCAAGACAAGCAGTAACGAGAAACTTCAAGCCGTCAACTGTAGTTTCCTGGCTAAATTCGCATGGCGGACAGAGTTTGAAAGGAATGACATTTTTGAATCATTGTTGAGAGCAACAAGATGTTCTAATGAAAGTTCTAAACTGTTTCGTTCTTATAGAAAATCTTTAAGTGACCTATGTGCTCTTTTACCCCACCGGAAATGATTTGGATGAAGCGTGTCAAACCGGACGAAAATTGTCAATCTGTTCTTGAAACGTGGCAGGGAGGCTGTCCTCGTAGATTTCATGAAAAATTATTCTGAAACTGAATAACGTATTTCATGAGAGCCTTTTGAAAAAATGGATCCAAATAACGGAAAAGCACCAAATCAACAAATATTTCCTACTGTGACACAATATTGAAGGTTTCTATATCATCATTATTAGTCTCATCACTATGAATCTCGGAGTGTTACTTCACCATTTCCTCTTTTAGAAACATCCATTATCAATGTCTTCAAGTAGCAAACACTAAAGCATTCTCGTTACAGCAATTGGATATTAGGAGACTCACTCCAAATTCAAGGCCTTCCCGTTCTGTCAAGCACGCTGCAAACTTGCTCAATATTCCGTTTTTTTATGGAACATAAGGGTGCATTCAAACTGCGCCGGCAACCGTCGCTAGCAGCCTATAGCCGCCCCAACTGCGATTATGTGCTATGTGGGCAACCCATAAGTCGAGTGAGCTGCTTCATGGGTACCGGTAAATGTAGTCTAACCTATGAAAGCTGTTCTCGAATATCGGTATAGCGGCAATTTGTGGGTAAGCCTATTCTTACAGACTTACCCTGGCTTTGCTGACCGCTTAGCTTTTTTCAATACTGTATCGCGAGTTAAGCCCCACTGGGTTTCCTTAATGATTACTGCCTCTCGTTCTACGATCGGCATCGATGAGGATGGATTTGCAAGAGCAAAACTTAATGCAGGGTTTAAACTGATGCATATCTCTGCAAGTTTTTGAATTATCCGCAAAACGTCCCTTTGCTTTCTCCTCGGAATTCAAACGCTTGAAATAGACTTGCATGTTGCTCAAACTCAAAATGGGCTTAGAAAGTTTCAAACACCCATTGGAATCTGATTTCATCCAAGAGTTATAAGTTACAATGGAAATGAGTGAGTGAGTCAAAATCTGTTCGAATAATTTCACGATGTTGAGCCAGAATATGGAGTAGAGTACGGCTAAAATACTCGCTTTCACTTTATGGCATGAGCACCAATTCTGACCCTCTACATACTTTCCTTGACTCAACCTTTGGCTTTACATTTCCACTTGTATGGTAGTTCGTTGAATCTCTCA